CAGAGGCCCCCAAAGGCCAACGAGTGACCTTTTCCAGGATGCCGAAGCATCAGGTGTAAGGAAACCTGTCCGTCTGGTGTTGGAAGTGGTTTACACATGGGGGGGGGGTTTACCTTACCTTGAGGTTACCTTGCGATGATTCCGGGGCTTAGCGTCCCCGCGGCCCGGTCGTCGACCAGGCCTCCTGGTTGCTGGATTGGTCAACCAGGCTGTTGGACGCTGCTGCTCGCAGCCTGACGTATGAGTCATAGCCTGGTTGATTAGGTATCCTTTGGAGGTGTTTATCGAGTTCTCTCTTGAACATTGTGAGGGGGTCGGCTAGTTATATTCCTTATGTATAGTGGAAGTGTGTTGAACAGTCTCGGGCCTCTGATGTTGATAAGAGTTCTCTCTCTCACAGAGTACCTATTGCATCTCTACTTTTCAACGGGAGTATTGAAGTTGCATACTCTTTTATGCTCGGGTGTGTTTACTTGAGTTTAGGGGGACTGGTTGGAGTAGTAATGTGTGTGTGTGTGTGTGTGTATATGTGTGTGTGTGTGTGTTGTGTGTGTGTGTGTGTGTGTGTGTGCTGCTGTATACTATCTGGAGAGTTAACCACATGGCGAGAGCGTCAGTGAGGCTTTACACTGTGTGAGGTTGTTGTTGTTTTAGATTCAGCTACTTAGAACAAAAGTTCCAAAGTAGCACGGGCTATGGTGAGCCCGTAGTGGACTTACCTGGCACAGGAGTGGCGGGGCAGTAACTCGAGTGTGAGGCGAGGGAGGCCTTTCTTAATACGAGTACCAGCGAACCTGTTTGTGAGAAAGCGCGGCAGCCCAGAATTATACCTGGATGGTACCTGGATGGGGTTCTGGGAGTTGTTCTGCTCCCCAAGCCCGGCCCGGGGCCAGGCTTGACTTGTGATCATGTTCATATCAAGGGCGAAGCTCTGTGCGAAAAGTTAAGAGTTGTTTTTCCTTAGAATAATGTTGTGTGTAAGCTGTAAGAAAATGTTTGCCTGAAGTAGATTATGTAAACGGTAATGTCGAGAGGTCTAAGGAAACCCTGGCCATAACAGGCTCAGGCTGCGGGAGTAGAATAACTCTCGAAATCGTCAACAGGTGTGTAACAGGTAAAACGTTTCCTCCCATCCTTTGTTGAAACAAAAAAAATTAGCACATTAAAGTTTCGAATGCAGTAACTTTTTAAAATATACATATTTCAAAATAATTTAATTGTAATGTATAATTTAATTTAAAAAATATGTACTTTGCATATATGTATATATAATGTATTCTTTGTGTTTTCCAGGTGAGTATCTGCGGTTGGCTGCGTCTCTGAAGCGCCGAGGTTTGTACATTGTTAGCCTCTTCCTATATATATATATATATATATATATATATATATATATATATATATATATATATATATATATATATATATATATATATATATATATATATATATATATATATATATATATATATATATGCAAACAAGCCTGAATGGTCCCCAGGACTATATACAACTGAAAACTCACACCCCAGAAGTGACTCGAACCCATACTGCCAGGAGCAACTTAACTGGTATGTACAGGGACGCCTTAATCCGCTTGACCATCACGACCGGACATAAGGAAGTGATAGCCTAAGCTATTTGAACCACTTCCCCGCCGGCACTCGGATAGTAATCTTGGGCATAGCATTTTATCAAATCACCTCATTCTTTGGGGCAACACGTGAGGAACACAAATGCAAACAAGCTTGAATGGTCCCCAGGACTATATACAACTGAAAACTCACACCCCAGAAGTGACTCGAACCCATACTGCCAGTAGCAACGCAACTGGTATGTACAGGGACGCCTTAATCCGCTTGACCATCACCACCGGACATAAGGAAGTGATAGCCTAAGCTATTTGAACCACTTCCCCGCCAGCACTCGGATAGTAATCTTGGGCATAGCATTTTATCTATAATAGCATATCATATCATAGCATATTTTATTCAAATCAGAATGAGGTGATTTGATAAAATGCTATGCCCAAGATTACTATCCGAGTGCCGGCGGGGAAGTGGTTCAAATAGCTTAGGCTATCACTTCCTTATGTCCGGTTGTGATGGTCAAGCGGATTAAGGCGTCCCTGTACATACCAGTTGCGTTGCTCCTGGCAGTATGGGTTCGAGTCACTTCTGGGGTGTGAGTTTTCAGTTTATATATATATATATATATATATATATATATATATATATATATATATATATATATATATATATATATATATATATATATATATATATATATATATATTGAAAGCGACAGAGTTATAGATTTGTGATTCTGGCACGAATCTTCTCGATTCGTGCTTCAGTGAAGAGAAACATAAGGAATATCGAGAAAATTTGTACCAGAATCATAACGCTAAAACTTTCTGTTGTTTTCAGCGAAATATGTTTAAAAGAGACTGCCACCAAAATATCTATATATATATATATATATATATATATATATATATATATATATATATATATATATATATATATATATATATATATGTCGTACCTAGTAGCCAGAACGCACTTCTCAGCCTAATATGCAAGGCCCAATTTGCCTAATAAGTCAAATTTTCATTGTTTTTCGAACCTTAACCTAACCTAACTTTTTCGGCTACCTAACCTAACCTAACCTATAAAGATAGGTTAGGTTAGGTTAGGTAGGGTTGGTTAGGTAGGTTCTGTCATATATCTACGTTAATTTACCTCCAATAAAAAAAAATTGACCTCATACATAATGAAATGGGTACCTTTATCATTTTATAAGAAAAAAAACTGAGAAAATATATTAATTCAGGAAAACTTGGCTTATTAGGCAAATCGGGCCTTGCATAGTAGGCTGAGAATTGCGTTCTGGCTACTAGGTACGACATATATATATATATATATATATATATATATATATATATATATATATATATATATATATATATATATATATATATATATAATCATTAAATTCTTTCTCGCATTTAGCTTAGATACAAAAATCATAATAATTAGGCTTTAAAAAACAATCGTTTACTTCCTGTAGCGGATATGAGCTGTCGTGTGTGTCAGATAAAGCTGCCTTCACCGCCGTTGTTGTGGTGCTCTGTTCAAGGCTGTTTGTAAATGGTGCCTCGGTGCCTTCCTCAACACATGTTCTGTGTGTGTTTGTTGTGTGTTATCTCCACTCCATGTTGTGGTTGTGTTGTGTGGCAGAGTAGTGTTGGCAGCAGCGTGTTTGGGCTGGGGCTTCCTCACCCTCGGGGGTGGGGGTGTTGTGGTTGGGGATCAGTTCTCCAAGCCTTGTAGCAAGCAAGCCTCCAAGCCTTGTTGCAAGCAAGCCTCCAAGCCTTGTAGCAAGCAAGCCTCCAAGCCTTGTAGCAAGCAAGCCTCCAAGCCTTGTAGCAAGCAAGCCTCCAAGCCTTGTAGCAAGCAAGCCTCCAAGCCTTGTAGCAAGCAAGCCTCCAAGCCTTGTAGCAAGCAAGCCTCCAAGCCTTGTAGCAAGCAAGCCTCCAAGCCTTGTAGCAAGCAAGCCTCCAAGCATGTAGGCCTTCCTTTGAAATAAAACATTGCCTCTTTAGTTTGCATACCTTTAAGACCACGAGTCGTTTGGTGTGTATCTTGTTGGTGTAGGTCATACTCTGTATTTCTGGCGGATGGGTAGCCTTCGTACACATGGGCCAAGTGTCTACACTGTATACTGGAACCATGAATTACTTTTGGAGGAGCAGATTGGTACCAGTGGTTCAAAATGCTTTCTGGAAAATGCCAGTGCTTCAAAAATGCTGTCTGAACAGTTCCGTCAATTTAATGCGTCTACTTGTAAGTAAAAATAGATTTTCTTCATTTAGACACAGCCCCAAAATCACCCCAAGGTAACCTATTATAGGTAAGGTATTCATACAGCCCCGAAATCACCCTCAAGGTAAGGTAACCCTTTTTATAACAAAAAGTAAGTACGTTTGGATAGATGTAAGGAACGCTCTCTCAGAGAATTGTTAAACGCCCCTTTAAATAAGACAGTAAAGAAATGAAGGGGTGAGAAGTCGTTAAGCAGCAGGAAAGAAAAACCAGTTTTAAATGGACTGTGATTGATGAAACACGAGGAGAGGAGTGGAGGATGTTCCTAGCGGAGGATAAACAGTTAGTGGGGAGTCACTGCCCTGTCACGCCCAGTGCCTGTCACGGCCAGCCTGTCACGGCCAGTGCCTGTCCTAGACCTCTGCCGGAGCAGGCGATGGGCCAGGAGTCATTGGCGCTGGTTACAGCTCAAGAAATATGGCTGCAGGTGAACCAATTGGATGCGCTGGCCTGCACTTGGACCTCGTGTAATTGGCTGGGTCCCGCGACTGGTCTCTGGCAAGGTAATGATCGGTTTGGGTTGGTCTGTGCTCCTGCCTTTGCCCTGGTATCAAGTGATCTCATGATGGCTCTTATGGATTCGCCTTCATTATTATTCCTCTTGGGAATATTAATGTTAGGCTCGTCCTGATTGATGGCTCCAAATTGCCGGTGTGGGACTCGAAATTTGGGCACTGATTTTCGTTCCGTGATTAATTGGTCTTTTTTTTCCCCTTAGAGTAACGGGCTATTTTGTATATCTTGACCTATTAGTTTGATTCCAGAAATTGCATTAAAAATTATGAGACGACATGTTCATCAGGGAAAATTCTCGTGAGCTCAATGTAAACGTTTGTCGTTGGGGGAGTTGCCATGTTGCGTGTTTCGGCGGGCACAACCGTCAGTGGTGGAGGGCGTGTGTGGCGAGCAGGTCACTCGAAGTGTGTGTGCTTCATCGAGGAACAATGTCAACAGGTGCACTGGAGCACCGAATGAGCCACGAGGTTCCGCTGGAGGCGTTGTGGGGAAGTAAACAGTGAAAAATTGTGGAGTGGGTGACGGCGAGGCGGAGTCACGATCATAGCGTAGACTGGGGGGAGGGAGGGGGAGGGGGGGAGGTTGTGTAGTGAACCGCGGAGGTGTGCGTTAGTGAGCGTGCTGTTGTGGAAGCTGTTGTGTAGTGCACTCCGTCTCCAGCGGCGCCCAGTGTCAGCTCCCACGTGTTGTTCATACGGCCTTTACTTTGCTGCAGCCAACACCTGAGTTAGTGGCGCTGCTCTCCTCCTTCCCCGCTCCCACTGTCAGTGTCTCGCCTTCATCACTTGGCGGGAGGGCCATCGTTGGGCCGCAGCACCTCGCTGAGTCTTGGTGTACTCACTCTTCTGCATAGTACTCCAAGGGGCCGGTCTTTACTCATTCACAGTCGCCCGCCTGCACGTCTCGCATTTCCGGTGATGGGTGAAGCCGATGCTTAAACTGTTTGGTCAGCGTCAAATGGCCACTTGTGCGTGTAATAATATTCGTATATGAGCTACGTTGTTGTGATACACCCACCAGGCTGGTGTGTGTGTATTGTGTGTGCGAGTGATTATGGTGTACTGCCAAGGTGTACGCTTTGGTACAGTAACGTACTGGAACCTCTCACACGTAGTGAAACCCACCAGCGGAACTTTTACACCTGCCTGTTGTGACGTGAGGCTTCAGTGGGTGTCAGTGGGGAGTGAAGCATCAGTGGGAGACAGTGAGGAATGAAGCGTGTGGTGGTGACGGCGAGCAACAAACAAGCGCCTTTACCACTTAATAATGTTATAGTGTCGGCCTCCAGCACAAAGGCCTCCTCATACCCGCGACCTCATCGTCTCTTGAGCTTCGTGAAGCCTGTGAATCCCTGGAATTAGTTTCCCCTGGAATAAATTCCGATTATATGTAAAGATCCCCCCCCCCTTGTGAACGATAAGTAATTAAGTAGCAAAGCGCGCTGTGATTAGCGGAAACCTGTTGCTTCTTTGTTGATAGTGAGCGACTTCGAAGTACCAGCAGCGAACTGGTAGGCTCCTGTCCGTTGTTACTTACTCTTGGAACACCTGGAAGATAATAAACGCTGGATTTCGCGCGTATCCCACCCAGGTAACCTAGTAGGACAGGTCGTGGCACCAGGAATACTGTAGGTGAACTTTAGAGTTTAAGGAGTGAAGTGGGGCATTTCATCTTGAGAGTAGAACATTGACTTCGTAGAGAAGCCTGCCAGGTGGGTAGGTGGCTTCGTGTAGGGACCTGACGGGGCTGTTGTGAGTCGCGTCCTCAAATTGCTGCTAAATGACCAGCTTTGTTGCATCAAATAGTATTGGGTGAACTACCGGTTTTAATGTATACTGGGGTTTATGGGGGCGACATGGGTATACGACTCGGGTCTACGACATGGGCAAACCATGTCGTAACAGTGGTTTACATACTATGTAAACCACTGACGGGAGAAAATGCTGCAAGTATCCACAGTAGCTCAGTTCACTGTTGGTTTTCATGGATGTTTATGGAGAGGGGGAAAAGTTTAATTATGTCCGTAGCAAGCCAGCAATTAGCGTCCCTGCGCTTAGGGACCCAACAGTGGCCGGTTACTTTGGCCCTGCTCTTGTCTTCACTCATTTGGCTCCAAATACTTTAAATTGTTTTGTTAGATAATCCCCTTTGCGTGTGTCTTTCCTCTCATCCTCTATATATATATATATATATATATATATATATATATATATATATATATATATATATATATATTATATATATATATATATATATATATATATATATATATATAATGCAAACAAGCCTGAATGGTCCCCAGGACTATATGCGACTGAAAATATATATATATATATATAATGTGTGTGTGTGTGTAAATCACTAAAATTAACACGTGATGAAAAATGTGAGTGTCAGACCACGGAGGAAGAATTGAAACAGGACCTCCGTAAGCACTTATGTATTGACAATACATCTTCAGAAGGACTAATATAATATAAAGACCATTCTCCTGTTTAGGTAGTTCTTGTAGAAGCGATGAGGACCTTCGTGCATACATCAACCTAAAAGGCGACAATTAGAAAAGTAGAAATCAGTACTATTCAATTTTGACAAATCGGAAAAGTTTTTGTATTTGTTGCAAAAAAAGCCTAAACTAACCTGACCTTTCTAGGCCTAATTAGTACACGTGTGTGTGCTATATTAGGCCTAGGAATATATAAGTTTGCTATTCAGCTTTATTTTTCTCATAAAGTGAATAGTGCCAAATTCTACTAATTGTCTTGTACGTCAATTTATGTACGATGGTGCATATATATATATATATATATATATATATATATATATATATATATATATATATATATATATATATATATATATATATATATATAATGTCGTACCTAGTAGCCAGAACTCACTTTTTGTCCTACTATTCAAGGCCCGATTTGCCTAATAAGCCAAGTTTTCCTGAATTAATATATTTATTCTAATTTTTTTCTCATGAAATGATAAAGCTACCCATTTCATTATGTCTGAGGTCAATTTATTTTTATTGGAGTTAAAATTAACGTAGATATATGACCGAACCTAACCAACCCTACCTAACCTAACCTAACCTATCTTTATAGGTTAGGTTTGGTTAGATAGCCGAAAAAGTTAGGTTAGGTTAGGAAGGTTAGGTAGTCGAAAAACAATTAATTCATGAAAACTTGGCTTATTAGGCAAATCGGGCCTTGTATAGTAGGCTGAGAAGTGCGTTCTGGCTACTAGGTACGACATATAGCTATATATATATATATATATATATATATATATATATATATATATATATATATTATATATATATATATATATATTATATATATATTATATATATATATATATATATATATATATATATATATATATATATATATATATATATATATATATATATATATATAATATATATTATATATATATATATATATATATATATATATATATATATATATATATATTATATATATATATATATATCTATCTATATATAATAATATAGAGCAGGTTCTCTTTAGTAAGATAGTACTTACTAAAAGTACTATCTAAAGAGAAGGATGGGTAGAAATGAGTGGTATACAATATAGGGGGGTACCACTCGGGTGGAATTGTAGGGACCATAGCCTCGGCGAAGAGGATTCAAGCGCATCAGAGACGGTGCGGATTCTCCCTGAACACCTGAATATTGTACTCGCCGACCATCACTAATTTTTTGTATATACATATTTATATTCCTGGACGGAGATGATGTGTCATAATAACTTAGCTGAAGAAAATGTTGACCAAACCACAGACGATTGACCATTATCAATGGACTTGATATAATGGTTCAGATTCACGAAGCAGTTACGCAAGTACTTACGAACGTGTACATCTTTCCCTCAATCTTTGCCGGCTTTGGTTACATTTATTAAACGGTTTAAAGCATGAAATCTTCCCATTCCACTGTTGTTTATTGTTATAAACAGCCTCCTGGTACTTCGGAGCTCATTAACTGTTTAATAATTGTACACAAAGCCGCCAAAGATTGAGAAAAGATGTACAGATTCGTAAGGGCTTGCGTAAAGTGCTTTCATGAATCTGGCCCCTGGACGGACCGAATTGTCGTCGTCTCTTCATCTTCTGGCGTGTGGTTTGGTCAGTATATTTATATAATATATATATATTATATATATAATAATATACTATATATATATATATATATAGATATATTATAGATATATAATATATATTTGTATAAAATCAGATATGTACTGTATAACCTTCATAATAAAGTGTACATCATAATAAAAAAAAAAGGGGGTGGTAGGAGAAGTGAACACTCTTTCGTATTCAGAGTTAATGTCAAGTTTTTCCCTGAGTGCTCTGTGTTCCTTCTCTGAGGGCTGTGGCCCTATAATTACATTACACCAGTGGGGTACCCCCCTATATATTTTATTATATTATAATATTGTTACTGGTGTTCTACACTTATCAGGGTAAATGCTAGAGCATGCACTTATCGTTGCTCCCATATCTTGTTTTGATGAAATTATATTTTCGTCGTAGAGATTATCAGACTTGTGGGCCCCTGTTGGTGATTGTTAACTGTGTTGGGGGAGGGGGGGGGGAGTTCTTGAACCCATTATGTGTGTCTATGGGGTTCCACCACTGCCCACGGGATTATGTGTTGCACCGGCCCACGGGATGGGTATGGGGTTCCACCACTGCCCACGGGATGGGTATGTGTTGCACCGGCCCACGGGATGGGTATAGGGTGCATAATGAATGAATGACGTGGTGGGGTCAGCACCAGTAAGGGGACTAAGACCTCTGCGCGAGGCAGTATAGGGCAAGCACCAGGGTTCCAACTGGTACTTGGCTTGGCGCCTAAGTTGTGCGTAATACTAACGCCTACGTCACTGGCTGCGTATTTCATATCTGCGTCACTGGCCGACGAGTACTTGTGATATCAAGACCCTTTCAAGCAAGAAATACCAAGCCAATGATGGAACTTTATAAAGGTAAAACATGGTATATGAGTCAGCTTACAGTACTGACACGACTGTACGGGAAAGATAACGTGCGTGGCAAGATAGCTGGATATAACTTTAGATCACACTGGGCACGTACACAGGGCACGTACACCATGCATGTATTCGTGGATCTTTGCATGAACGGTAGGCACTATTTTGGCTAGTACACAGAAATCACACTAAGGTGATGTATCGTGATAAAACCCGTAGGCGCCGTTAAACCGAGTCTGACACTAAGCCCCGAAATCATCTCAAGATAACCTCAAGATTAATAGTTATCAAGCATGTATCATCACAAATTTGAAGTAATATATATTATACGGTAGAATATAGAAAATATGGGAACACTTGGCAGCAAGTCTACTCGTTGTATGATATAGTTTTAACAAAACACAATCACTTGATCTTCCTATTCCAGCTCTCGGCCATACCGCTAAATACCATAATTCAGTTCAATTCAACCCAATAGGTACACTATTTGTACCTATGTAATATGTACAAAGGATATCATCAGCGGCGTATGCTAGATTGGTCAACATAAGAACCGCCTTTAGAAACTTGTGTAATGAATCATTCAGAACCTTGTATCCCACATATGTTGGACCCATCCTGGAGTATCCGGAACCAAAGAGCCG